GTCAAAGTCGGACGCGACAAGGAAAATAATACGCATTTGTGTGTGTGTGTGTGTGTGCGTGTGTGTGTGTTTGTGTGAAACTAAATGTGTGCATCTGCATGTGTGTGTGCCCTTATTAAAAACAAAATCTCTTGGGGGATGTCAGGTTACATATCTCGATGGCATTATACAATCACAGACTGTTTGGGGGGAGGGGGGGGTATTCTAATTTTTAAAGTTTTCTTTGGTGGTTGATTTATTTTTTTCGTGGTCTTGTCTGTTCATTAAAATTCTGTATTTATGCCACACTAAACAACCAACAATCTCATTTTTGGACTAAAAGTCTTTGGGATCACTCATTTTTTCAGTATCTTGTCCTGTACAAAGATCTACAGCTGAAGAATAAAACTGTAGTGTTTTGGCGATTCTCATAAAATGGAGCCCAGTCCATAAAAAGCAAGCCTCTTTTGGTGTATCCGGTGTACAGAAGTGGGATTTATAATTAAAGAATATAGACCTGACCTACATTAAAAAAGATAAAATATTTTTTCGACACTATCGTATGGTCGCAAATATACTCGTATACGCGTATAACCCGCACCATACGTATGCCCCGCACTTATAACAAAATAAGTACAAACAAAATCGTACAACGACACCTTTATCTGCCCCGCATGGACTAAGCTTGACTAGCGGTACATAAAAATGTTGCTCATCAGACGTCTGTCCCTCGAGACGCAATCGTGTTCCGGTTGTTGTTCCAAGCGATACATAGAGCTTGTGAAAGACGAGTCTACGGCAGTATCTGTAGTATGTTTTTTCGTATCCGCAGTATGTTTTTTCATATCTGTAGTATGTTCTCTCGTATCTCCCAGTTATGTCTCTAGTTTCCGTTATGTTAATGAGTAAAAATGAATTTCGTGAATCCCGCCTCTTTGTACACATTGCATAGCTGCCATTCGATTGTATAAAAAAAAAACTTTCATAACCTGCGGGTTATATCGAGACCATTTGTCATAGAAGGCCTGAACACTGACCTGCTACCTCAGAATCTGTGGGAAATTTAGACAGGTCTGTACGACGTGGCAACGAGCTAATGGTCTAAACCCCCACAGGTTGTGACGTTGCAGGTTAGTGTTCAACCTTCTTTATATGCGCGAAAATACGGTTTTTTACAACTATGGAATCAAAATAAACAATGAAAAATTTGTTTAGTATGAAAATCTCCAATATTGTATTCCGCCTTCCTGTACAGTTGAGACACTCACCCAAACAGTACGTTAAAATCGTATTAACATTTTATAATTGAGAGCCCATTCCCCGTAGTGCATTTTAATCATTCATAGATATTGACTCGTTCACCTCAGACAGACCCTGCTACATCATACAACCCAGCAAGACCAATACACTTGCAGTGTGGAACAGATGAAAAGAATATAAGGCTACTTTTCCATGCCACAGACTTGTAGAGACTCTTCAGCTTAGCAGCAAGAAACGCTGCCCGATGAGAAAGAAGAGCCCTTCTCTACTACAGGAAAAGAACGTCCGACACGTATCAAACCTTGTGATTTACGAGGATAGGTACAAATGAAGGTATATCATACACTTTGACACAGGAAGGTTGATTTTTTTAAATAGTTGAAACAGATATGAAAAACAAGCAATAGAAAAAAAGAATAGTTTTTAAAAACTAAGCTTATCTAATGCTTATCTAATGGAAAGAACTGCTAATTGGTGCCATTTATATGAAAATTACCTGGTTTAGCTCCCATTCTGATATATAAAACAAAATTAATTAGTACTAAATTGGTTAATTTTTGGATTGATAAGTGTATTTTTGTCCACAATTGCATAATTATGCAAAATTTCAACTTGATCCGAGAATATGAAGTGTCAAAAAGTAATAAGGTGATTAAATCTATCTCTACAATACTCTACATACATAGCATTTATTCCCATTATTTCGATTCAAACAAAAAATTACTGATCATCAACTATAAAATAACTAATTGGCGAATGTTTTGATTGATTCATGTCTTGTCAGATTCAATGAATATTTGTGCAAAGTTTTAACTTGATCCTAGAACGGGAAATGGGAGGAAAAAAAAACATGTTCATACTTTTTACCAGACAGACAGACGGACAGGCAGACAGAGTGAGTCTGTGTAAGCCAGTGATGACCAAACTACGGCCCGCATTTTAAGAAGAGAAATGAAACTTTAAAAAGTGCTCGCTAGGTGACGGAATAAAATCGTCTTGAAAAAAAAAAGTTGAAGCTGTCAGCCTTTCTGCCATGACTATTCCAAAAACGCGTATAGTAGACGATGTTGGTGAAAATCAGACAGAGCAGCAGATTTCTAAATGATTTCAATAGCCGCTGAGGAGTGACACCAACTGGAACTGATTGACTTACAAACCTAGTCTTCCTTACTTGAGAAATTTCGAGCAATACAGAAAATAGATTTCTACGCCGTGTTGTCTACATTAACTTTGCACATTTACGAAAACAGTTGCTGGAAATGAGAACAACTTGTTCAGTTATAAGACACACACTGAAAACCCTTATGACGTAATTGACTTATGTGTCATAATAACATTATTTAAATTGGTTTTTCAAAAAATCTTTTCGTTAATGTGGCCCGCGACACGAGTGTCGGAAATTAAAATGGCCCGCAGGTCGTATAAGGCTGGGCATCACTGATATAAGCTTTTTTTTTTTTTTTAAATAGTTTTTTTCTGTATCATTTTAATTTAATTCGTGTTTTCAATGCCGATTTTTACATGTGTGTCTGGCCTAGTAAAACATCTAGGCTGACTTACCTGATAGACCTTTGGAGGCGAGACCTTCTCTTCGTCGTCCGCAAACATCTTCCTCCTCTTGCAGACGGTGTAGACGACGGCCCCGACCAGGACGCATATCAGTATGCCCAGCAGGGATCCAACCAAAATGGCGGAAACGCTCATTACTTCAACCATGGCTGCAACACAAGAGAAAAACAAGTTGGTAATCACTTTGCATTAAAAAAAAAACAAAAAAATTTACAGTTAAAGCAACAATTTCCGCAACCACAACTGCAACAAGGTATCTGTATAGAACATTTGTGCTTAAAATACGGCCTCCGTGCCATATTAGGCCCTTAATACGTTTATATCTGTCCTCATACAAAACTTCGCCCCCGCCCCCCCCCCCAACATGGAGACATGACAAACACATAGGACATCTGCCTTGAGCACAGCATCTTCTTATCGGCTCTGGACTTGGGCGGAAATCGTTCTCTCTCTCTCTCATGTTAACATCCTTCCTAGTCTAGTCACTAATAGTGCGCACCTTCTTCATTATAACATTATGAAATTAACATAAAGTTGATTAATAGTTAAGCTGTATTCACCGATATACTGAATCAGTGGAACTATATAATGGAATTTCAGTTTCAATTACCCAAATGTGCTCAGGATTTACATATTTTAAATTAAATATTATGATAAATAAATTGGTGTATGTAATTTACATAGATTTTTCTTCTTTGCTATTCTTTCCTTTCATTTTTTTTTAGAACGATAGCTGGTTTTAAAGAAATGTATTAAAAAGTCGAAACTCAGTTTAAAAAGTTTCAGACCTCAACATAACAAGAACAACATTAACAAATACTTTTTTAGTTAAAACCAACGCTTAAATTAATTGTAATTGTATCGATTAGGTTGGATCAGTCATGATGTATGATTTAGAGATGGGAAACGAACAGAACCCGAACCGAACTCGAACCTCACTTACGACCGAACCTAACACGAACTTTCAAACAGATCGGTATGAACCGAACCGAACGAACTGCCCTTACCTTGACCGAACTGAATCAAAGATTTTGCACTATTTTTTTACAGTGAGATGATTTGACAGTCATTTTTTTATTTTTTGGAAAACTTAGCTGGATTATTTTGTGTTCTGTTCTTTTGATTCACCTCGAATGGTACCGTAACATTTAATATTTGTGCGCTAATGCAATGGTAGAGTCGAAGAAACTAAAAGTAGACTCTGAATGCAGAAACTACCAGGAAAAGTTGGACAGATCTTTGCTTTTTATGGAGCATGAAAAAAAGCTAATATTTGTATTGGTATAGAGATGTTTGTGTTTGTTTTTAAAGAACGTAACTTTATACAGCATTATGAACTCAAAAACATAAATAAATATTGCGGCCTTCTTAGTTTGAGCCACCAAAAAAAAATTGCTAAGAAACGCCTTGAGATTAGTGGATTGGCGAGAATATTTACTATCAGTGATGGAAGAAATGTATCATGACAATAAGAATGCAGTTGAAGTCGCCAATTTTTTTTTTCACAAGCCAATTAGAAATCTCAGTTAAAACTAAAAGATAGAGCAGCAGAGCTGGAAATGTTTACCATTAGCTCCCAACTCTTGCTACTTGTTCGCAGTACGAAAAGCAAATTTTAAATCACAGAAAAGATATCTGCTATGAGGAACGTGCTTTGGAGCCACCACTGGTAAAGATCTTTTTAAAGAAGTTTCAGACATAATGGAGGAGGAGGCTTCTTTCTTTTGGGAGATATTAGTGGAAGTGAATACTGATACCGCCAGAAGTATGGCTGGATGACATAGCGAACTGGCAGCAAGAGTTAGAAAAATTGTCAAGTCAAACGGAACCTCTGTGACAAGAAGTTGAATTAAGCTGACATACGCGCCTTTTAAATGAAATAGTAACTCTTCATTCAGCAGGTGGTAAGGGGCGAAACCAATGTGGCGTCATCGCCTGACCGACGAGCATCTAGAGTCAGTGCTTAAACTTGGCGTCTCATCAATGCAGTGGGAGCTTCAGACGTTGGTAATGGATAAACTTCACACATTCCATGAATTAGTGTAAATATTATATTCAGGTGGGAGGCGGCGATTGCTGAGTGGTAAGTCTGTGCTTCAACTTGGTGTCTCATCAATGCACTGGGAGCTTCAGAAGTTGGCTATGGATAAACTTTCCATGAGTTAGTGTAAATATTGTATTCAGGTGGGAGGTGGAGGTGGCTGAGTGATAAAGCGCTTGGCTTGCGATCCGAGAGGTCCTAGGTTTGAATCCTGGTGAAAAAATGAGGTTTTTAATTTGGAGTCCACTAAACTCTAATGGGTGCCTGACGTTAGTTGGGTAAAAGTAAAGGCGGTTGGTCGTTGTGCTGGCCACGTGACTCCCTCGTTAACCGTAGGCCACAGACATATATGACCTTTACATCATCTGCCCTATAGATCGTATGGTCTGAATGGAAACTTTTTTATTATATCCACGGGTTTCTAATAAAAGTGATTTTTTAAAATGTTTTGTGTACCTTTTCTGTTATGTGGCCCGCGACACGAGTGTTGGAAATTAAAATGGCCCACCGGCCGATTAAGGTTTCACATCGCTGTTTTATCTAAATTAAAAATTGAAATAAACATTATTACATGTACTTAGTTTTTGCTATAACCTAATTTCATAAAATCCAACCGAACCTGAACACGAACTTTAGACCTAACCGAACTAAACTGAACCGAGCCCAACCGGAACTTAAATCTGACCGAGCCGAACCGAACCCGAACTTTAAAAGTTGTGTTCGATTCCCATCTCTAGTATGATTGGCCTAGACATAAATCTGAGTGACTAAAAATATTTTTACCAATTGAATTTGTTTAGCTTTTAGCTTTCTTAATGCGCTATGACCCTATCACTTGTCTGGATCAGTTGGGAAAGAGGGAGGAAAGAAGGGGGTATATAGTATCTTGGTGAGTGTTTACATGATCGTTTTTTAAATTCATAAAAAAATTTCCCTCAGGGCCCAAGATTGCTTAAGGGGGCTAATTCAAATTATGACACAACATCTGTTAAGTACAATTTCTTTACCTTACTCAATATACAAAACAAAATAATTAAAGAATTGGCTAATTTGTGTACTCTTTTGTTTTATAATTCTTGTGTTGTCAGGTTAAAGAAATAATTGTGCAAAATAACCTAAAGTTGAGTGTGGGAGAAATAAGTGTACAAACTTTTTACCAGACAGACAGAGTGAGTTACTGGTAGTATTGTAAAAAAAGGCTTGAACATTTTATTGTCTACTATGATATATTAAACCTAAACAAGGTCTTTAAAGCGTTTTTTTTATTATTTTTTTGTTTGTCTTCTGTAAACTCAATATTTGTAGAAGCATCATAAGATCTAGAATCAAAAACAGACTATAAACAAACTAATGCAGAATTATAATACACATTCTTAGGCGACACGTAATTTAACTAGATTTACTGCCCTTTTCAACAGTGTCTGCTATCTCAAATTTCTATTAAGTATTAAATGTTTCATAATATTTCATACAGTTCTTGTCTTATCTTTAAATTACTTATAGTAGTCAACTTCAAGTAGTCCCAGCAGATTATTGCTCTTCAGTAAGATTACAAAATAAATAAAAGAAACTGTACTATCACATCGTAAGTTCAAAACGTTTTTAATCCAAAAAGTCATGCTTCCTTGACTATAGATCACAAGAATCAATATATTCATCTATTTCTGTTTCATTGTATTTGTTATATAGACCAGCCGGGTATATTAGCAAAGCTATGACACTCTAAATGGAGAACAAGTGAAGCAACAACGGGATACACATTTGAGACCAAAAGAAAATTCGCTGCCGAGGATAAACGCAGACGGCGAAAACAGAAATCTAAATCGACCACCTGCGAACAATGGTTATGGTTGCCCTGGATGTGGCAAAATATGTAGGTCACAGGCTGTCACAGCTGGGACTGAGCAGGCACGGGAAATACTGCATTCCTCACTAATCTTCAGACTCGAAGACAAGCCTTATTGTTATTAGTTAGGAAGCACGAGGTACATGGTATGTTCAGGCTCGTGATGTTTCACGTGAGAGACAAGAACATGGTCAGTCAGTAGACCCTAGCTAGAGATTTGAAGAATACAGACGTGTATTATGTTAAGCATGGAGTATTGCTAGATATGTACTTGTTGAATTTCATTTTGGATTATGTGGAAAATATGTTATATGATCTATTGATAGCTGAAATTGCCAATTTATTGTGAACCATTCATTTATCATAATTAAAATATTGTCTGCTACCTAGTGTGTAGTTTATTTGATTCTATATGTTGTGGTGATATTACTCAGCATCTATGGTTGACATACGCAACAACAAATTTGGCGTGTAGAAAGATATTTAATTAATACACAAAGAATATTTTAACAATAATAGAAGAAGTATCAACGTAATATTCAAGAACAGGAAACACTCATTCAAGTAAAATCCAAAACAAGACCTTCAGCAATAGATATCAGAGAGATATTTTTAAAAAACTTGGGTACGACTAAATAGAAAACTCCAAACTGTGAGAGATGAGTGGACAGAAAAATATAGAGGTGCAGATCTTAGAGAGGAAGTGAGGATGGATTAGTCACACTCTTAGAAAAGATATCAACAACAGAGCTAAAAGAGAGGATCATTACATCCTAAGTATTTCATGAGTCCATCTAGTCATGCATGTTAATTAGTGACCATAACTCTAGCTGGTTTTCCTGGCTGATTCAGGCAACCCATTCCATTAGCTGCTGCCAAACTTTCGTTCTAAAAATCGCTCGTTGTATCGCGTTGTTCTGAAATTCCCCATTTGGTAAACGGAAAGTAGTCACAGAATCAGATGAGTTCAGTTGATACCGGGATCGAATTGAAAGCATTCATATTTTAGCGTTAATGTAATACATTACGATAACTTTCTTATTAAAAGGTCGATTACTTTTAAGTCTTGATATAAGGGACACCCAACGCCAAGTTACAGATATGTCTCCGCCAAGGGTCCCTAGATCCTGAGAATACGACATGGAGAGATGTTCAGGGGAACGATAACCCTGAGATGGAGTCTACCAGTCAAGAATGGGCATGTTTAGTCAGAACTGAGTATGTGGTAACGCACTATTGGTCTTCACTCCCCACAATTTGCGTTGTCAAAGGTCAGCATTGAGGCCTTCTATTAGCGAATGGTCTCGGTTAATGACGAAAAATGCATTTTTTTAAATCAACATACAAAAGTATTCCAGATGTTATAGTACTAAAAGAAAATCTAGATGTCGTAATGCTAAAACAAGATCTAGATGTCCTGGTGTTTAAATAAGATCTAGATGTCCTAATGCTAAAAGAAGATCTATATGTCCTAGCATTTAAAGAAGATCTAGATGTCCTGGTGTTTAAATAAGATCTAGATGTCCTAATGCTAAAAGAAGATCTATATGTCCTAGCATTTAAAGAAGATCTAGATGTCCTGGTGTTTAAATAAGATCTAGATGTCCTAATGCTTAAAGAAGATCTATATGTACTAGCATTTAAAGAAGATCTAGATGTCCTAATGCTAAAGGAAGTCACAGCTGTAGTTCATGACGCCCTAGTCCAAACGACAGAGGAGCAACTACCATGGCCACGAATCTCCTGCTCCCGAACTCGTAGCAGAAGTTCTATGCTGGAATTACCGCCCTTGTATTGATCCAACACGCAGTCAATATGATTTCTGGTATGAAATTTGTTCAAGGGAGAGACAACAAAGTCTTCTGTTCAAACATTCATCTTTTAGCCAGGTCAACAGCTTTCATGACATGGTAGAGAAAGTTGTGAGTGGAAAGAAATTCCGGGGGGGGGGGGGGGGGGGGGGAGAATGTGCTATTTTAAAAATGTGTTTATCTCCATCTATATACAAAGAAAAACAAACAATGCACAAGTTTAATGTAGAGCCGCATGCTGGGAACAACGGAAGCCGGTCAATAAACCGATTGCGTCAAAACGAACATAAAACATCCAATCCATGTTTTCAAAACAATGGACATTCTTTTTTATTTTCTATTACTTTTCAATTATATAAAAATAAAATACTTTTTCTAGTAAAAAAAAAAAGTGAATGCCCTATTCCAATTACAATTTTTATTATTGAAACGTAATGACTAATTCTTAGGTTTCTATTTATAGAAGTTTTAATCATTGAATAAAAACTACCACTAGTAGCGACATAGTGAACAATATTAACTGTTATGGTACGACTAGTAAAAACAAGAATAGAACTTTATATAAGATAAGATAAGATAAGATAAGATTGTAAATGTTGTTCAGTGTGTAAAAACTAATAATAAAATTTTTGTATTTTTAGATCGGAGATTTTTTTATTTTTTCGTCAATTTTTGTTACTTTATATCCTTTATATCCTTTATATGCTTTATATCCTTTATATCCTTGAAAGTCTAAAATGACAGAATATGCAACATCATTCTTTGTAATGCACTACAACTAACCTTTGGTAATCCGACAACTCCTTCGCCGTTTCGTAAGCGTCAGACTATACAAGAGTTAGCTGTACTAGGAAAATATGCAGGTGTCAACAGGTCTCAACAGGTTCTTAACCGGTCTCAACAGGTTCTCAACAGGTTCTCAATAGGTTAGGGTTAGGGTTAGGGTTAGGGTTAGCAGGTCTCAATAGGTTCTCAACAGGTCTCAACAGGTTGTCAACAGGTTCTCAATAGGTTCTCAACAGTTCTCAATAGGTTCTTAACAGGTCTCAATAGGTTCTCAACAAGTTCTCAACAGGTCTCAATAGGTTCTCAACAGGTTCTCAACAGGTCTCAATAGATTCTCAACAAGGTTCTCAACAGGTCTCAATAGATTCTCAACAGGTTCTCAACAGGTCTCAATAGGTTCTCAAGAGGTCTCAACAGGTTCTCAAGAGGTCTCAACAGGTTCTCAACAGGTCTCAATAGGTTCTCAACAGTTCTCAATAGGTTCTCATCAGGTTCTCAACAGGCTCTCAACAGGTTGTACGTATTCACGTTGAATACTTCACTCATCTTTTTTAATCTTTTCATAGACATTGCTTCTTATAGTCTCTGCGTTATGGTAGCATCACCGTCCGCTTGGACAACACAAATAATTTTATAAAGTTTATAATGTTGTAATTATTTTGGTTAACACACATTTACATGTGACTATTTTTATGGCTTTAAACGGCATCTCACCCTCCTTATATTACGTCACCCGCTCATGTCCAACTGTTAACCAAGTTACACGGCAACGCCGTCA